TCACATTACTACCGTTGTGTTGGAAAGTAGTTCACGTTACTACCGTTGTGTTGGAAAGTAGCTCATGTTACTACCGTTGTGTTGGAAAGTAGTTTACATTACTGCCCTTGTTTTGGAAAGTAGTTCACATTACTACCGTTGTGTTGGAAAGTAGTTCACATTACTGCCGTTGTGTTGGAAAGTAGTTCACGTTACTACCGTTGTTTTGGAAAGTAGTTTACGTTACTACCGTTGTGTTGGAAAGTTGTTCGCCGACCATGGCTTTACAATAACCTGCTTGATGAGGAAGGAAGGCAGGAACACAGGATGGAGACATATATTTAACAGAAAATCGATTTCAACATCGGACAGAATGAAGCGACTCTGTGCGTGGATGGATTACAATGATGGCGAAAAGCTGAGAATCCAGGACGAGAGTTTTTTTAGCTTTCTTGTGTGGAGAGCAGGGGAAATAGAATAAAAATGGGTTAATGATAAAGGTTTTTTTTTTTTTAGTGGTCAGTGGACAAAGATTGCTTGTGATTGGCTGTGGACTGAGTGTTGTTTGGAGAGGCTGGGGGAGTTGTATAGTTTTGTTGTTAACTAGATCATTCTATGAAGTCTTCAGCCTTCAGCACGTCATAATCTTTTTCCTGTCTGCTATATACTGTAGTATGGGAACATTTCCACCCTTCTACTTTTTTGTTGTTAACTAGATCATTCTGTAAAATCTTCAACCGTCGGCCTTTATAATCTTTTCTCTGTCTGCTGTATACTGTAGGATGGGAACATTTCCTCCACGTTTTCAGCCGTCAGCACATCATAATCTTTTCTCTGTCTGCTGTATACTGTAGGATGGGAACATTTCCTCCACGTTTTCAGCCGTCCGCACATCATAATCTTTTCTCTGTCTGCTGTATACTGTAGGATGGGAACATTTCCTCCACGTTTTCAGCCGTCCGCACATCATAATCTTTTCTCTGTCTGCTGTATACTGTAGGATGGGAACATTTCCTCCACGTTTTCAGCCGTCCGCACATCATAATATTTTCTCTGTCTGCTGTATACTGTAGGATGGGAACATTTCCTCCACGTTTTCAGCTGTCAGCACATCATAATCTTTTCTCTGTCTGCTGTATACTGTAGGATGGGAACATTTCCTCGACGTTTTCAGCCGTCAGCACATCATAATCTTTTCTCTGTCTGCTGTATACTGTAGGATGGGAACATTTCCTCCACGTTTTCAGCTGTCAGCACATCATAATCTTTTCTCTGTCTGCTGTATACTGTAGGATGGGAACATTTCCACCTTTCTGTTTTGTTGTTGTTAACTAGATCATCCTCTGATGTTTTCAACCGTCAGCACGTGACAATGTGTGCTTTGTCTGTCGTACTTTAGGACCGAAACATTGCTTTTAATCAGCAAAGGGATTTTAAGGATGCATCGTCGTCACAATCGTCGTCATAATTATCATCAACTTGCTGTTGTGACAGCAACATCCTCTGGATTACCCCTGTCTCGTGACGTGTTTTACAGTGTGTTGCTCTCCCTGATACGGGTCAACACGTCCTGATCTGTTCTTTCTCTCTCTCTCTCTCTCTCTCTCTCTCTCTCTCTCTCTCTCGCTCTGGCGTACAAACAAACGAACTTTATTTTCAAAGGGTCACAAATTGGGCACGCAGGACCGTCTTGCGTTCGTCTTTCAATAAAACATGTTATGTTAATATAACAATTTGTATAATATGAATATCACGGGGGGGGGGGGGGGGGGGGGACACATGGATGGTAAATGCATGCGCACACGAACAAACGCACACTCACAGATTCACATACACACAACACACGCACACACACACGTACAAACGTACGTTAAGACCAGAATTTGTTTCTTGCTCTGCCTTGCCTTAATTTGTTCAAATTCCGGTAGTTTGTATGCCATGGTTTGCATCCTTCTTTCTTTCCCTACTATAGTTTTGTATTGTACTGTGTGGAATACTGTACGGGAATCACAGACTATAGCTTTGACGATTGCATCTAGGATGATCTGCTCACATTAAGTAGTCGAATTGGAGTAGAGCACCGGATTGCAACTAGGATGATTTGCTCACATTAAGTAGTAGAACTGGAGTAGAGCACGGGATTCAGGAACTTTGTTGCCATCAAGTGTATTTTTAGGGGGCTGCGTGGTCTCGAGGCATGGTATCCGCCTCGAGTGCTAGAGGTTCCGGGTTCATCACCCACCAAGTGCCGCTTGATCTATAAAATATAGGTCTAGCCCTATATACCAAATACGCATGAAAGGCGCGGGAAATGGTCCCTTTTTTTTTTACTTTTAAGGCGATCTTACCTGTCTTTATTCATGGTTAGAGATATGGTTAGTCGGTGTGTCTAATGCGGAGGCTAACAAAGATTCTGACCCTAACGCCAACCAATAGCACCCCTACAATACTGGGTTTTCCTGGGAAGGGAATTAAAAATGAAGTTGAAAATAAAAAGCAGAGGCAAAAAAAAAAGGGGGGGGGGGGGGGGGTAGATTTTAGACTCCGCCGGGGATTTTCAAAATCGACCTTGATTGGGACTGGAACCATTGACCATCAGCCCTCAGGCAGTCTCTCTAAACACTGCGTTACCGCGACTAAATCGGTAACCATGACCTCATGAGTTTATTTCTATCGAATATCACCTGCTGTGTTTCCTCTGTTTATTTTTTATAAAGGCAGTTATGGTTTCTGCCGACGATATCGGCGTTATTTGCCGATACTTTACGATGTGTGTAAATCACAATAATAACAATTGACCCAGCGGTTATTTTAGGTATTTTATGTTTGTTTGTGTGCAGTTTGTGTGCAGTATAATCGTTGTCTGTGCTCGGTCTCTGTTCCCTTGTCTGGCTTGACGTGCTTATTCATCGTATGTGCTTTTAGTATGGATGAGACCTGATAGCTAAATTATCACGCTTTATAGGTCCCTTGTTTTGGTAGCCAAGGCTTGATAACAGATGACAGTATCGCTTCCACGGGCCGCACTTGTGATAAATAGGTTTTAAAGACGCCGGAACTCGGGGACATCAGCATTTTGAGGCGCCCCCCCCCCCCGCTCCTTACCTATAACAATAATTAGCGTAGCACTGCACCCCGCTCCCTTCCCCCCTCTTCTCCAAAGGGAAACAAATGTAAGAGGTTAATAGCATCCCCCCCTCCCCCAAGTTATCTTTTTAATGTATTTATACATAACGCATATATTATTTCAAATAGTTTTTATTTCCTATTCGGCACTTTCTTCTTCTTCTTCTTTTCCTCCTCCTCCTTATCCTCCTCTTTCTAAAGATGATGTTTGAAGGCAAGAGACTGGCCTTTCACTTAACATGTTTACCTATGAGAATACACTGAGAGATGTGAGAATTGAGTGAGACATTTGATCAATAAGGACTGTCATCACAGCACTCCTGACAGATCCATGGGTACTCTTCTTTCGGGCAGTGGTGGTCTGAAAGAGAGTGACTGGAAGGACCGAAAGACAGGCCTGCATGCCCAGTTTGTAACCCTTTGAAAATAAAGTTTGTCCGTTTGTTCAGTAGTTATAATTAAGTATATTCCATCATTTTAGATGTGCCTGAATTTCTGTTCTTGACCTGCTCCAAAATTAAGTTAGATCATGGGCTCATTGGTTCAGTAGCTCTTTCATTTTAAATACATCTTCCAAGCCATTCTTTTCTCTACCACCTCCTATAGAGAATCTAGATATCTATGGGACAAAGTCTTTCCATAAACAGTTTAGAGCGGGGGGAGGGGGGGGGGGGGTCTCATGGCCTGCTGATTGGATGATCATTTCTCTTTATTTTAGAAGCATTACATAACATTATACAAGATATTTTTTTCTTTCTTTCAGTATGATTACATTACAGTAAATAGATACCATACCACTGTGGAGTTCCCGGAAATGAAACAGCTGATAAACTGGCTAAGGAAGTTGCAACCGAAGAACAACCTCACGTACCAGTCTCTTATCAACAGAAGAAGAGAATAATCATATCAATCAGAAAGCCACCAAAACCAGCACAAGATGATTACCATATTATGGACAGACCAGAGCAAGTCATTTTATGCCTGAAAACAGGACACATTTGACTTCGCAGTCACATGGAAACAAAATTTAAGATTCGCACATGTGGACTAGCACCTGAGACAACAGATTACATCCCCCAAGACTGTCCCAAATACATTTCCAGGTAAAACTGTTGGCCAAGAGAAACACTGGTAAAAGCAAAACTTTAGTCAGAACACTGATTGATAAAAACACAGATGAAGGTGATGCTATAAACAGATGGGTCAGTAACTCGGGGCAAGCAAAGCGCATGGGCATTCACAGTAAGCTCAAAGAGAAAAACCATCAAGGAGATAAATGTGCCTTTGCTGTTACAACTAGTAGCCTTACAATGGAAGCTATGGCTGTAACAAGGACTTTAGCATGGCTTGGTACTCAAAAGTTTACACACGTATGAATTCTTAGTGACTTAGTATGCTTAAAATAATCCAAGCTGGTTTTATCAGGCAAGAATGGATTGCAACACTAAGAATTTTGCAAATAGCTGACCTAACCTTCTTGTTTGTGCCAGGTCATGCGGGTCTTCAAGGGAATAAATGTGCAGCTGACACTGTGGTTGCTATGGCTGGTCCAGTAGTGAACAGAAGCGATGTTATCAGAGTCATGTGTAGCAGTTACTGCGATGATGAGCACACCAAAGGACATGGGAGTGCAGCCTGGAGCTGCAAGCAATGAGCATTTCACCAAGGGGACAAGACGTTTCATTAACCAACACAGAACAGGCGTCATCAGTCGTTTTACACTTGTGGAGCTTTTGAGGAGGAGATCAGAGCACCTTTGGATCTGTCGGGAGTGCTGTGATAAAAATCCTCAGTAATCAGTGAGCACAGCATTGCCGATATAGATAATCTATTTCAAGCGAATGAAAGAAAAAGAAGACATGACAGTATTACAAGATATTCTTTCTTTCTTTCAGTGCGATTACATGACAGTATACAAGATGAAGGATTCCACTACCTTGTGTTCGATCTGTGAGTATTTCAGATACTTTGTTTTATTTCTTTTTTTTTCGTATAAACGAAATACTGTCTTATGTTCAGTCTATGGCTACTTGATTTTTTACTGTGTTTGATATGTAAGTACGTACATTTCATTTTGTGTTTATTTTGTAAGTACTTCCATTTCATTTTATATTCATTTTACAAGTACTTCCATTTCATTTTGTGTTCAACCTATGATTACTTTAGTTTCATTTTGTGTTTGATTTCTTATTTTTACAAAACACTATCTTGTGTATGACTGGTGAGTTCTTCCATGTCATTTGATCAGTGGTCATTGCGTACTTTCATTTTGTGTTTGATTTATGATTTATAACTAGACTCTTTCACTACATGTTTTACCTGTGAGTTATTCCATTTTATTTTATTATTTGTTGTTGCTTCTTTTGTATATACAAAGTACTGCCTTGTGTTTAATCTGTATCCTTCCATTTCTTGTTCAGTCTGTGAGTCCTTCCATTTTATTTTGTGTTCAGTCTGTAAGTTCTTCCTTTTGATCTGATGTTTGATCTGTGTGTACTTTGTTTTCAATTTTGTTTGATCTCAGAGTACTTCCATTTCATTTGGTGTTTGATCCTTGTTTTGCACTCACAAGATACTAACTTATATTGACCTAAAAGTATCTCCATTGATTTTGTGTTTTATTCCTTATAGTGTCACTTAACATCTATCCTGTATGTTATCTTGTCACTTAACATATGTCCTATATCTTATCACGTAACATCTATCCTGTATGTTATCTTGTCAATTAATATTTATCCCCTATCTTATCTTGTCACTCAACATCTGTCTTCTATCTTATCTTGTCACTTAACATCTACCTTCTATGTTATCTTGTCACTTAATGTCTATCCTCTATCTTATCTTGTCACTGAACATCTATCCACAGTATTATCTTGTCACTTAACATCTATCCTGTATAGATAAATATAAAACATTGTGGGGAGCTTTATAATTCAGTGGCTAGCAAATTCATATACCAGTATAATTAATGTTTAATATTTTTACATTTTGTTTTTTCACTGCGTGTGACTGCATTACTAAACAGGAAAGTGAGTGGACTAGAATTTGATTAATTGCTGTTGATGAGGATTTGTTTGATTTTGCAGGGTTACCGGCGGCGAGCTGTTTGAAGACATTGTTGCCAGGGAATTTTACAGTGAGGCAGATGCCAGGTATCTTTAACAATTAGACCGCTTCATGTTTTGTTGCTAGGATGTTTCTTTATGTGTATGTATTGGTCTTTGTTGCACTACATTAGACACATCCTGAGAATAAACCAGCGGAGAATCACCAAACAGGCATTAAATTGGGGGAAAAAAAAGGGATTTAGCAGGTGAGGATGCCCAAAAGAAACCCTAAGACAGACCCTGATAAGAGAGGCTAAAGCTGCTGGAGTGGATTCCATCCATGATATTGAACTGATTGCAGAGGATAGAAGGAATGAACGAACGAATGAACTAACTTTATTTTCAAAGGGTCACAAATTGGGCATGCAGGCCTGTCTTGGAGGAGTAGACTTCAAGCCCAGTGTGACATACAGTGACAGAACAGGATAATGAATAAATGAATTTGGTCTGTGTCCATTTTTATCCCTTCTCATTCTTCTTTGTATATATCATTTTATACCTTTGTGTCTGCCCTGTATCCTTTTGTATGTAGTCCTGCTTCTGCCTCTCTGTCCAGAAATCCTGTTGATCAGTTTTTTTTTTTGGTGGGCATGTTTAATCAGCCAAAATTGTGTCCTTCATGTAACATTATGTCTGTTTATCTGGTCTGACTGGTTTATCTGCCTGTTTGTCACTAGGACTTTTTTTTTCTATCTGAATTTTATATCTCCCTGTCTGCTTCTTTTGTTGACCTTTCCATCCATTTCCAGCTCTGTCTTTCCATCTGTCTTCTAGCCTGCCAGATTGTCCTTCTGTCTTCTAGTCTACCAGATTGTCTGTCTTCTAGTCTATCAGATTTTTCATTTCTTTTCTAGTCTGCATTTCCAAGTCTGCCTGTCTGTCCATCTCTCTTTTAGTCTGCTGGTCTGTCCACTGTCTGCCTATCCTTCCATCTGTCTCCCAGTATAACTGTCTGTGCATATGTCTACCTCTCTGTCTGTCCCTCCAGCTGTTTCCCAGTCTGCCTGTCTGTCCACCTGTCTCCAACTCTACTTGTCAGCCTGTATGCACTTGTCTATCATGTCAATTTGGCTATCAGCTATATATCTTCCCATTTTGTCTGTCTGTTCATCTATATTCCCATCTACCTGCCCTTCTATTTGTCTGCCTGTCCATTTACTTGTATCTCAGGTTGCTTTTCCATCCAGCTATGTCCCCTACTGCTTGTTTGTTGTCTGTATACATTGTTGCATTGTCTGTCTATGTTGACACATGAATGACCATGGTTTCAGCCACTGCATGCAGCAGATATTAGAAAGTGTCAGCTATTGCCACCAGCATGGGATCGTGCACAGAGATCTAAAGGTATGCACACCCACATCACCTTTGTCTTGTGTCTTACAGTATCTTCTTCTCCTTCCCCTTCTCATCTCCTCTTCGTCCCTCTTTTCTGCATTCACCTTCAAAAAGACCATTGATATGATATGTTATGATTTACATTACAGCTAAGCTGCAGTATTTGCACCTCTCTCTCTCTCTCTCTCTCTCTCTCTCTCTCTCTCTCTCACACACACACACAAACACACATGCACACACATGCGCGCACCCACCCACACACACACACATACATATATATATATATATATATATATATATATATATATATATATATATATATATATATATATATATATATATCGGATTTCAGTAAATCATTAATTGACACAGTGGGGCCACAGAACCCACACAGGTAGTCTAATGGGTAGCTGATTGGTTGATTAGCTAGGTGGGTGGTTGGGTAGCTAGATAGATGTTTTGCCCCACTAATTGGTTGGGTAGCTAGATAGATGTCTGGGTAGCTAAGTGGTTAGGTAGCTAGATAAATGTTTGGGTAACTAGGTGGTTAGGTAGCTAGATAGATGTTTTGCCCCACTAATTGGTTGGGTAGCTAGATAGATGTCTGGGTAGCTAAGTGGTTAGGTAGCTAGATAGATGGTTGGGTAACTAAGTGGTTAGGTAGCTAGATAGATGTTTGCATCACTAATTGGTTTGGAAGCTAGATAGATGTTTTGGTAACTAAGTGGTTAGGTAGCTAGATGGATGTTTGCACCACTAATTGGTTGGGTAGCTAGATGTTTAGGTAGCTAAGTGGTTAGGTAGCTAGATAGATGTAACTAAGTGGTGAGGTAACTAGATAGATGGTTGGGTAACTTAGTGGTTAGGTAGCCAGATATATGTTTGGATAGCTAAGTGGTTATGTAGCTAGATAGTTGTTTGGGTAGCTAAGTGGTTAGGTAGCTAGATAGATGTAGGTAGCTAAGTGGCTAGATAGATGTTTTGCCCCACTAATTGGTTGGGTAGCTAGATAGATGTTTGGTTTAGCTAGATAGATGGTTGGGTAAATAAGTGGTTAGGTGGCTAGATAAATGTTTGGGTAACTAGATGGTTAGGTAGCTAGATAGATGGTTGGGTAGCTAAGTGGTTAGGTAGCTAGATAGTTGTTTGCACCACTAATTGGTTAGGTAGCCAGATAGATGTTTGGGTAGTTAAGTGGTTATGTAGCTAGTTGGTAGCTAAGGGGTGAGGTAACTAGATAGATGGTTGGGTAACTTAGTGGTTAGGTAGCCAGATATATGTTTGGGTAGCTAAGTTGCTAGGTAGCTAGATGGATGTTTGGGTAGCTAAGTGGTTAGGTAGCTAGATAGATGTATGGGTAGCTGTGGTTATGTAGCAAGATAGATGTTTGGGTAGCTAAGTATTTAGGTAGCCAAATATATGAATAGATAGCTAAGTGGTTATATAGCCAGATAGATGTTTGGGTAGCTAAATGGTTAGGTAGCTAAATGGTAAGGTATCCAGATAGATGTTTGAGTAGCTAAGTGGTTAGGTAGCCAGATATATGTTTGGGTAGCTAAGTGGTTAGGTAGCCAGATAGATGTTTGGGTAGCTAAGTGGTTAGGTAACCAGATAGATGGTTGGGTAACTAAGTGGTTAGGTAGCTAGATAGATGGTTGGATAACTAAGTGGTTAGGTAGCCAGATAGATGGTTGGGTAACTAAGTGGTTAGGTAGCTAGATATATATTTGGGTAACTAAGTGGTGAGGAAGCTAGATGGATGGTTGGGTAACTAAGTGGTTAGGTAGCCAGATAGATGATTGGGTAACTAAGTGGTTAGATGGCCAGATATATGGTTGGGTAACTAAGTAGTTAGATAACCAGATAGATGGTTGGGTATTTAAGTGATTATGTAGCCAGATAGATGGTTGGGTATTTAAGTAATTATGTAGCCAGATAGATGGTTGAGTAAATAAGTGGTGAGGTAGCCAGATAGATGTTTGGGTAACTAAGTGGTGAGGTAGCCAGATAGATGTTTGGGTAACTAAGTGGTGAGGTAGCTAGACTGATGGTTTGTTAACTAAGTAGTGAGGTGGCTAGATGAATGTTTGGGCAGCTAGCTGGTTGGGTAGCTAGATAGATGGCTGAGTAGCCAATTGGTTAGGTAGCAAGATAGATATTTAAATAGCTAAGAGGTTTGGTACCTAGATAAGTGGCTGGATAGCTAGATAGCTGCTTGTGTGGCTAGGTAGTTGGATGAGTAGCTAAGTGGTTGGGTAGCTAGAAAGATATTTGGGTGACTAGAAACATGGTTGGGTAGTTATATAGATGTTTAGGTAGCCAAGTGGTTAGGAGTTTGATAGATGGTTGGGTAGCTAGATAGCTGGTTGAGTGGCTAGATATATATGTTTGGATAGCTAGATATAATTTTGGGTAGATAATTGGTAAAGTAGTTAGATAAATATTTAGGTAGATAAATGTTTGGGTAGCTAATTGGTTAAGTAGCTAGATAAATGTTTGGGTAGCTAGATAGATGGTTTGATATCTAGATAGATAGTTGGGTAGCAAGATAGATGGTTTGAAATCTAGATAGATAGTTAGGTAGCTAGATAGATGGTTCGATATCTAGATAGATAGTTGGGTAGCCAGATAGATGGTTCAATATCTAGATAGATAGTTGGGTAGCTAGATATATGGTTTGATATCTAGATAGATAGTTGGGAGGCTAAATAGATGTTTGGGTAGCTAATTGGCTGAATAGAAGATAAATATTTGGGTAGCTATATAGATGGTTGGGTAGCTAGATAGAGTTAGACAGGTGAATGGTTTACCATTAGAGTGCTGCCAGCTGTATCATAACTTGAAATTAACCAAGAAATGGCAGAGACAAGGGAGATCATTATCAGGGGAAAAATAAAGTGCAGCACAAGGTCAGCTCTAACGAGCAAAGCATCTTGGAACAGTAAAGAGTGTTCTCTGGAGAGAGGAAGCATTCAAAATCAATACTAACGGGGATCCATGTCAGGCAAAGATCTCCTGGGGAAATATCATTAGAAAAAAAAAATGCGCAAGCAGAAACAAAGCAGCAGAAATATGAAACATGACTGCACTTTGTGCAGGGTCATTGTGAACTTATTTCTCTTAGCATTCACCGGTTGTGAACTCCAACACAAAGTTCTGGTAGTTCATCCACTTCTGGACTTTAGTCTTCCACTTCTGGACTTTAGTCTTTCACTTCTGGACTTTAGTCTTTCACTTCTGGACTTTAGTCTTTCACTTCTGGACTTTAGTCTTCCACTTCTGGACTTTAGTCTTGTTTCTGTGAACTAAGTTTTCCAAAAATAACATGTTTTAGAATTGTAGTTAGTCGATTGAGGTCTGCCTTTACAATGAAGGTTTGCTTCACTTGTATACTCTGGTTGACTGTTGGATGCCCATATCTTGATGTCATCACCCCAGTACATTTATTGCAATCATTGTATTATTATTCCTGGTACAATTGTTTAGAAATGAAAAAAAAAAAAGGTAAAATAAAGGACCCTTTTCCACTCGTTTAGGTGTACCTATATTTTATAGATCAATTGGCACTTAGTGGGTGATGTGGTTAGCATTACCCCAGCCACTTTTACTTCCAAGGACTGCACCTGGTACCAACTCAAAGTTGGGTCAACCAGGTAGACAAGGTTATTTAATTTTTTTAAAAATAATAATTAAAAAAAAAAAAAAAGTTGGGCTCCTTCAGGACCCTAACCCACAGCCTGCCGATCCACACGCAGGCGTCTTGCCGCCACATGCAGGCGTCTTGCCGCCACACGCAGGCGTCTTGCCGCCACGCGCAGGCGTCTTGCCGCCACACGCAGGCGTATTGCCGCCACGCGCAGGCGTCTTGCCGCCACGCGCAGGCGTCTTGCCGCCACGCGCAGGCGTCTTGCCGCCACGCGCAGGCGTCTTGCCGCCACGCGCAGGCATCTTGCCGCCACACGCAGGCGTTTTGCCGCCACACGCAGGCGTTTTGCCGCCACACGCAGGCGTCTTGCCGCCACACCACGGCGACTTCCTGTTGTAGGAGTAACTTCTTCTTCTTCTTCTTCTTCGCAATCACAAGCTGTAAACTCTGGTGGAAAGTTCTGGTTTTTCGTCCACTTCCTGTTCCAGAACCTGAGTGTTGCATGTACATCTGTTTCACAGGTCTGACTCATTTGCACTCAGGCTGTTCTCCGTCTTCGAAGGAAGCTCCCAATTAGTCGACTCTTACAACATGCTTTTAGACAGGCAGTGGGTCTATTCTTGTTTTTCCTCCCACGATAGGGTCCGGAACCCACACAGGGAGTAACTAATACCAGTTGAGAAAAGAGGTATCGGAGAACGTTCTTGGTGATCGAAAAGGCCAACAACAGAAGAGGCTGATTGTTTGTTTGTTTGTTTTAGTTTGCAGAAGCCATGAGTTGTTAACCCTTAGGCTCGGTATTATATATATCGCAACCTTTCGGCCTTGATTCCATTGTAAATACCGTAAATCTGGGAGGAAATGTGGCTTTCCTGCCTACCTCCGGGATTGAACCCGGACCACAAGGAGTTTGTCACCCGGTCTCCGTGCAATCCGGTTTTGCCAACTACGCTAGAGAGCCGGGCAAGAGGCTGATAAAAAAAAGTTTTAATAGAACTTTGAAGCCAGCAGGCTCACAACTTGGAAAACTTAACTAAGTAAACAAGCATCCCTTGACAAGTTTACACCTGGGGCTCACAGAAACTGGGAATTGTTTTGCAATCTACCTTACAGCTAACCACACATGAAACAAAAACAGTTATAGCTAGCAGTTTATATTTTAAATCTTATGTCACAAAATTACAGTTTTCAGCGAATGTGACATCAGCTGTTGCTTAAAGGTTACAAGTTTGATATTTGTGGCTGTAGCGTTGTCCTTGAGCTGTTGATCCTACAACAAAAAAACCACCTACCCTACCTTGTTACATAATTAGCAGAATTATTTGGCGGCCCATAGGGACTTTTCCACGGCCCACAGGCTGAAGAACACTGAACTAAACCACTTGAAGCCTCAGTTGTTAAGGTCACTATTGTGTTTCCTGTCAGTATATATTGGTTCATTTAAATTATAAGCCTGTGCAATTTTATGTTTGGGGAGCAGTCACCACAGATATCTAGCTTCTTAATTCTTCTGATTAGATATGGTTTGTCTACTCTTCTTTTTTCTTCTGTTCTTTATCCACGTTCAACCAAGTTGTGCAATCTTTCTCTTCTTCGCCATCTTGAATGTAACTATGTTGTGGCTGTTTACATCATAAGTACAGTATTTGCATCTTTCAGCCTACATATTGAACTTCTTCATGCATTTGTTACCTTGGTGAACCCTCCCATTCAGTTTCATGGGACATACATAGCCTCATTGTATCACTATTTTTGCTTCCCAATCAATGGGTAGATTTCTTCTTCACTCCCCTCCCCTTTCCAGGTTCTTATCTGTGTTCTTAACAAAATAATACATGACAGTGAGGGCTTGGTGAACTTGTTGAGAAAGTTAATAAATTTTGACGACACAGTTGTTAACAAAAATTATGTTCATATTGGCAGGGCAACATAAACTTTCACAAACCTGAACAAATATAGAACTCTAAATAAAATAGTCATCAGTCAAGCAAACATATTCACACACATATACCCTGTTTCTGTCTTGTTCTCTAGCCTGAAAACCTTCTGTTGGCCAGCAAAGCAAAAGGTGCTGCAGTGAAATTGGCTGATTTTGGACTAGCCATAGAAGTGCAGGGAGACCAACAGGCCTGGTTTGGTAAGCTGAAGCTGTACTCTCTCTTGTTGTGTCTAAACATGTTCTGCAAATTCAGAGGTGTAGTCTTATAGTAAATACTGTCACTATGAAAGGGATTGGTTAGTTCTCTTATGCACCCTTTCATTCCCGGTACACTGAGACCAGTTCCCCTCCTTAATTTGAGTTGAGTCCAGAATTGACATCACAGCACTTGGGGCATTCCCATGCATGCTCCGTCCTCATCTTCAGCAGCCAGCACAGAATTCCAGTACTCATGGTACCGGCCACAATCTGGTTAAATGTCTATCTTGCCTTTCCTCTGAGTGTAGTTAACCGGCCAGACCCTCTGGTTACACCCAGGTGCCTCATTATCTCCAGGTCATAATAATCTTCTTTCTCTACTGATTCCATTGTTTGTTCCCAAAGAGCCTTGACCACATCTGCCTTTTCATGCATCAATTCACGACCCAATGGAGCAGATCCAGCCAATCTGTCTGCCTTTTCATTACCCACCACGCCGGCATGGCCTGGAGAACAGATCCAAAGTATGCTCACTACTTGTGACCTTTCCAGTGAAGCTTGCCACTCTGCTCGAAGCATCCCTGTCTTCACCTTTTTTCTTAATTTAAGCTTTAGCTCGTCCACTGTGGGAGATGAACCAGTATAATATATCAGGACTCACTAGATCCTCAGACAAAACAGGACAGAATGAATACAGCTCACACTCTTACATGACTGGAGCCCATTGTTCTCAAACAGTGTTTATTTTTGACATAGCTTGTATCAGTCTGCCTGTTTCTAGTTACTAACATCTTCTTCTTTTTCTTGTTCAGCATTCCAAGCCCTGCCTCCATTCATCTCTCTGGTTGGCCTTCTCTTTCCAGTTGGGGATACCAAGTGTTTGAAGATCTGTCTGAACATTATCTCTTCATCGTCTTCTTGGTCTGCCTTGTGGTTTACGACCATTCCTCGTGTATACTGTTTTTACTTCTCTGTCATCTGACATTCTTTCAATATGCCCCAACCATATCAGTCTATTAGCTCTCATGATGCCAGTTATCAGTGGTGATTTAAATAGATTATGAATTTCGTTGTTGCTTCTCACTCTCCATTCACTGCTGTTTGCATCTGTGAGGGGTTCAAAGATTCATCATAAGACTGTGTTCAAAAACCTGTAATAAGTTACTAACATCGGATGGAAATATTCACAAGCTTGTCACACACCACAGCTTAACACTTTTTTTCAGTTATTACCACTAGGAGGAATCTTCTGGTTCACTGCAAAAATGTACATCAAGCTTGCCCTTCACACACAATCTTCACACATCTTTTTTGTGATATAAACAGATCACTGTCAGATCACTGAGGACTGCTTCATTCACCCGGATCTCTAGACAAACAGCTGACCGTTCCAGTTGTAATCTTGCTTACAAAAGAACCCTGCCTTTGTTTTTCTTAGATTATACAACTGCGTGTGCACATCCATACCTATACACACATACACACACACACATATATGTATATATCAGGTGTTCCTTTAACATTATTTACTTTCCCACTTGATTGCCATGTCTCTCCCCTTTCTCACAGAGCTGCTAATAACTCATGAACTTGCATCTTACACAGTCATGTGCTACTTTATGTTGGGGTTTTCCCATCTGGCCTCCTATCTATTGTTTATGTAAATTGCGGTCTCCTCTAAACTTTAATGGTCATCCCTAAACCTGGCTGATTACACCCAGCCAGTTCTCTAAAAGTTCTGAAAATTACTGAGGTATTAGAAAGAGCAGGTATTGCAGCAGTTTTCTCAGTGCTCACTGTCTGCTCAGATGGAAAAGGGAAGAGTCCCTAAAGACATCCTCTATAGTGAATTACTGCCAGATGGGTAAAATATGTCGACGCTGGCCTCTACCACAATACAAAGATGTGTGAAAGTAGGACAAGAATGATACAAATATTGAAGTGGGTTCATGGGAGCAAAATGTCATGATCCTGTTTTGTGGCAGGGAATGAGAATGAAGAAAGAAAATACTGCAGTAAGGATGAGAGCTGAGCATTGGAGAGGAAACACACTAAACACACATGATACAACCATGGTCCTGAAACCCCATGCTCTAATTGTGGAAGACTTTACTTAATGTGAACGGGTCTTGCTAGTCAGACTTGCTATTGCCAGGGGCTGTGAATCACATACCTCCTCATAGTACATTGTAACACAGTTGCCCAGAAAGACAGAAAGGTACCAACAACAAGTGATGATCCAATAAAACTTTGGTGTACTATTGAACTGAATTGCTGAGGATTTGTTTGGATTCTTATTCTTCAGGTGGCTCTCTATAGCACACAAGTATTTAACTTGTTAAAATGGTCTCTATATAACATGCAAGTATTTAACTTGTTAAAATGGTCTCTATATAACATGCAAGTATTTAACTTGTTAAAATGGTCTCTATGTAACATGCAAGTAATTTACCATAAACAGTTTTCATGTATTTGATTTAGGTTTTGCTGGCACACCTGGGTATTTATCTCCAGAAGTTCTTAGAAAGGATCCTTATGGGAAACCTGTGGACATCTGGGCTTGTGGTATGTATTGTGAATGTTTTGATATGTGGGAAATCTGTGGGCTTGTGGTATGTATTGTGAATGTTTTGATATGTGGGAAATCTGTGGGCTTGTGGTATGTATTGTGAATGTTGTGATATGTGGGAAATCTGTGGACATGTTAGCTTGTATGTATTGTGAATGTTGTGATATGTGGGAAACCTGTGGATATGTGGGCTTGTGGTATGTATTGTGAATGTTGTGATATGTGGGAAACCTGTGGGCTTGTGGTATGTATTGTGAATGTTGTGATATGTGGGAAACCTGTGGACATCTGGGCTTGTGGTATGTATTGTGAATGTTTTGATATGTTGGATATATGTGAGCTTGTGGTATGTATTGTGAATGTTTTGATATGTGGGAAATTTGGGGACATTTGAGCTTGTGGTATGTGTTGTGAATGTTTTGATATGTGGGAAATCTGTGGGCTTGTGGTATGTATTGTGAATGTTGTGATATGTGGGAAATCTTTGGACATCTGGGCTTGTGGTATGTATTGTGATATGTGGGAAATATGTGGGCTTGTGATATGTATTGTGAATGTTTTGATATGTGGGGAAACCTGTGGGCTTGTGGTATGTATTGTGAATGTTGTGATATGTGGGAAATCTGTGGGCTTGTGGTATGTATTGTGAATGTTTTGATATGTGGGAAACCCGTGGACATCTGGGCTTGTGGTATGTATTGTGATATGTGGGAAATATGTGGGCTTGTGATATGTATTGTGAATGTTTTGATATGTGGGGAAACCTGTGGGCTTGTGGTATGTATTGTGAATGTTGTGATATGTGGGAAATCTGTGGGCTTGTGGTATGTATTGTGAATGTTTTGATATGTGGGAAACCTGTGGACATCTGGGCTTGTGGTATGTATTGTGAATGTTTTGATATGTGGGACATCTGTGGGCATTTGGTATGTATTGTGAATGTTTTGATATGTGGGAAAGTGAAGGGCTTGGAAAGTGCAGGGGAGCTGATAAGGAACCGTTTCATTCATGCGTTCTATAATAGGAATGATGTTTTATAAAACACCTGCATGATGATGATGGTAATGGTGATGATGGAGAGGGGGAGTGGGAGGGGGCGATATTTTAGGCTATGTCAAAACTCTGTCTGCTTTAAGACTTTAAAAGTGTTATGGTAAAATGAGAGTTAGTGTTCATTTTGACATTATGAAGTATTGTTATTATTACAATCAACATTACTGCACTGTGGACATTTCCATGCATGCTCAGTCTTCCAGTGCAGCAGACATCCTAATCTACCTGTCCTGATTGTTCTCATTTGAAGCTGGTTGTATATTCTGTCTTGAAGATGGCATAGATGTGCTTTGCTAGGCTTAACATGTGGTCAGGTTAGCATTAAAGACTCATTATCTATCACTGAAGTCTGTTCAGCATTGATTATGTCAACTCTGTCAATGCTTCTTGCTGCTTGTATTAGTGCCTTGTTTGCCATTTGGTCCACTCATTCATTGACTTTTACACCGGCATTCCCATTTGTGTAGATCCAGGTAAGAGAGGTGAAGTGCGACTTCCAGATGCTGTTTACCCATTTAGAGTGCAAACTGCCTTTTGTGATTTTCTGAAACATGTTTATTGTTATAGTTGTTGTATGCATCTTTTCTTGTTTGGATCACATTTTCAGGGGTTGTGCTGTACATTCTGTTGGTGGGTTATCCCCCTTTCTGGGATGAAGATCAGCATCGACTGTATGCTCAGATCAAGGCTGGCGCATATGATGTATGTAATTGTTAAAACATTTTCCCCTGCACGCCATCTCTGTGTGTACATTATAGTGTTGTGTAACATACATATATACACATATACATTGACATAACTTTCCATCTATGTGTGTACATTACAATGTTAGCTTTCTGTAACATACATATATACACACATATACATTGACATAACTAACCATCAATGTGTGTACATTACAATATTAGCTTCGTATAACATACATATATACACACGTATACATTGACATAACTATCCATCTATGTGTGTACATTAGGATGTTAGCTTTGTATAACATACATATATACACACATATACATTGACATAACTAACCATCAATGTGTGTACATTACAATATTAGCTTCGTATAACATACATATATACACACATATATATTGACACTATAGGTGTAAATTATGATGTTAACTTTGTATAACATACATATATACACACATATACATTGACATAACTAACCATCTATGTGTGTACATTAGGATGTTAGCTTTGAATAACATACACATATACACACATATACATTGACATAACAATTCATCTATGTGTGTACATTACGATGTTAGCTTTGTATAACATACATATATACACACATATACATTGACATCTATAGGTGTAAATTATGATGTTAACTTTTTATAACATACAAATATACACACATATACATTGACATAACTAACCATCTATGTGTGTACTGATGTTAGCTTTGAATAACATACATATACACACATATACATTGACATAACTATCCATCTATGTATGTACATTAGGATGTTAGCTTTGAATAACATACATATACACACACATATGTATTGACATAACTATCTATTTGTGTACATTAGGATGTTAGCTTTTTCTAACATGCAAACCCGGCTCTCTAGTGTAGTTGGCTAAACCGGATTGCGCGGAGACCGGGTGACGAACTCCTTGTGGTCCGGGTTCAATCCCGGGGGTAGGCAGGAAAGCCCCATTTCTCCCAGATTTACAATGGAATCAAGACCGAAAGGTTGCGATATCCATTATACTGAGCCTAAGGGTTAACAACTCATGGCTTCTGGATACTAAAACAAACAAACAAACAATGTATAACATACATATATACACACATATACATTGACATAACTAACCATCTACGTGTGTACATTAGGATGTTAGCTTTGAATAGCATACATATATTCACACGTATATGTTGACATAACTATCTATGTGTGTACATTAGGATGTTAGCTTTGTATAACATACATATATACACACATATACATTGACATAACTATCCATCTATACGTGTATATATTGACATAACTATCCATCTATGTGTGTACATTAGGATGTTAGCTTTGTATAACATACATATATACACACATATACATTGACATAACTATCCATCTATGTGTGTACATTACGATGTTAACTTTGTATAACATACATATATACACACATATACATTGACATCTATGGGTGTAAATTATGATGTTAACTTTGTATAACATACATATATACACACATATACATTGACATAACTAACCATCTATGTGCATACATTACGATGATAGATTTGTATATACACATACACAAGCCTTTATCCGTATACGACACAAATGGACAATGATACACTTACAAACAAGATGACATGCAGTTTTGTTCTAATGGTTTGTGGAAAGAGAGCTGGAGCGCATCAGCAAAGAAAGATTCTGGGCAGCCTCCGCACACAAACTGATACCTAGTGCTGAAGGTTGAAGATGTGGAGAGGTGTGACTGCCCAGTGCCAGTCAGGACATCTGTTGATATTAATTGATTGATCAGTTTGTTGCCTCCAGGCTGCTGTCTGAAGATTTATCATCCCGTCCTGGGATTACAAAATCTTAGTCTGAACTGCAGACCAACAAGGCGTATCCCAGACAGTCCATTTAGCCTCAAAAGAAGTTATAAATAGAGCATCTAGAACAGATACACAGCCAGGTGTATCCTGCAGTATTGCGCGGTCAACAGGAGACTTGCTTTCAAATCCAGCTTTGAGTCGCTGCAGCCCACGACTGGTGTTTGAAACCGGATGGTTCCCGCGGTTCACCTAGCCTCTAGGAAATGGATACACATATACAGCAGTATTGCGCAGTCAATAGGAGACTTGCTTTCAAATCCAGCTGCGAGTCGCTGCAGCCCACGACTGGTGTTTGAAACCGGATGGTTCCCGCGGTTCACCTAGCCTCTAGGAAATGGGAACCAAAATTAACACTCTGGGTAAATGGAGGAATGTCGCTGTAGCTACTGAGTTTCTTGCGGATGGCGACACAGGTGGACAGTTTTTTATGAGCTGTCTGTACTGGTGGCAGAGCACTTTTGGTTTATAACCGTGGGCAATGGCGCTGGATCACATCTCCCGACTTTACCTGTACCTTTATTGATTTCAGTAATGTGGACACAAAGAATACATTGCACAATTTATTGTCTGACGTGATCAGTTTGAAGTTACTATGCTAACAACATGACTGATTTTTAAATTTTCCGTGGATAGATGAACCGGGACTCGGCAACGTGATTAATGCATTTCAGCAAGAAAGTGATTCATTGTGTGCTTTATTAAACGTTCATTTAACTCTGTAGTAATGCACCTGGCAAGATACAGCGAAAATATACCAGGCAATAACTTGTGCCATGCATGGTTTATGTCCACATTATTCAAATTTACTACGAGAAAACATTGTTTTGAATCACATTAATATTGCTTTGTAAACAGTCACTTCCACGGCCAATAAACATCGTCTTTGGTCTTCCACTCAGTAAAATTAAATAACCCATTTTTTGCCTGATGCTAGACATTCTTCCGACCTAATAGGTTCTTTGTGGGTCAGCTTAATCTACTTCCCAGGACTTAACCTGGTGCTTTTTTTAGGCTGGGTTGACCTGACAGCCAGGAAGAAAAAAAATCTGGCATAATGCAGAAGCTGTGTTTAATAAGCCAGATACTTTTGAGTGTGGTTGATTTTGTTTGTCACTTTGAAGGATTCATTTATTTGCATCATTTTTTTCAGTTGTCATAGCAACTTGGAGTAGCTTAATTCACTATAGCAGAAAATTTCAGTTCTATATGTCAGATATTGTTGAACATTATTGACCATACTGCCAGAATTATGAGTTCTCCTTAACGAATATATGACCAGCTGCAATCAATCAGCCTCAGACAAGAGAACACACGTTGGGAGTAGATGGTTCTAGAGAACTACAGGAAAGGATTGAACAGTACATCACAAGAACAGGAATTAGCATGCAAGATTTTGAAATTTCCCAGATCACTTTAAAATCCCCAAAGATTGATTACACAGTATCATGACTGTAATTGTTTGAAAGATACACTTTAAATATATTAAATGTAACAGTCTATACTTCTGTTATCCTGCTGCTGTTGCTGCAACAACGACAACAACACATGTTATTGTAGTTACTGTAATATGCATCTGACTGATACAGCAAAATGTGGCAGGCAATAAATTGTGCAGCCTATTTGGATCTTTTTTTTGCTTCATTGTACATGCTTGTGATAAATTCTCTGTTAATAATGTTATAAATTACGAAATTGCTGGTCTGAAACACAGCTTTGAATTCATTGGTCCCCAGTATCCGTCCCCAGAGTGGGACACCGTGACCCCGGAGGCCAAGAACCTGATCAACAGCATGCTGAGTATTAATCCAGCCAAGAGAATCAACGCAGCTGAGGCTCTGAAGCATCCATGGATTTGCGTAAGTCCTTATGTTTAGTTTAGTGTGCTGTCTGTGCCTTCAGAGTGACACATATGGCGTTTAATTCCAGAATATCTGCTTCAGATCAGCTGCATTTATTTTGGCAGCGGACAACCTTGTGTTAATTTTGACAACGGTGTGGAGGACTTCAGCAAGTGGTAGCAAACGGTCAGTTTATCATTTCTGCCTTTTTTATCACTTTTGCAATGTGGGCAAGAGGGTTTTGAGGATGAAGATTAAAACAAGGAAAAAATATTCTTTTCACATACAGGACTACAGATTACACCAGACTAGTGTAGCCATTACGTGTGCTCCACTTATGACTTCTTTTGAGATTGAACAGGGTATCTGCGTTTTGGCCTTTTTTGTCTGCCATTCAGATTTAAAATTTGGTAAGTCAGAGTATTTAACCTTCGTGTAGCAGCCCAGAGGGGAATAATGGATTCAATTGGAATAGAATCAGTTAGTGTAGCAACCACTTCATATTGAAAGAGTTAATTTCAAGGAGGGAGTCACCTCAGAAGCCAGATTTCTTTGTATGCATTGACCAGATGTAAAAGACAAGAGAACACATCATACAATCTTTAATATTTAAGAGGGGAAACCCAATCAACCAGGACATAATGCTTTTTACTTTCTTCCACCTCCTTCCTCTTCTTACCACCTTTTTGTCTCCTCTTTCCCCTTTCTTGTCTTCCTCCTGTCCTTTCCTCCCAACTCCTGTCTCCATTTCTGTTTTCCAAATTACTCGTCCCCTCTTTTCCTCCAAACATCACCTCTCTGTGTCTGCTTGCAACCTTCTTCTTTTCTCATGGTTTCTTTCTGTCCATCTGTCTGCCTGTCTGTCTTACTGCCTTCCTGTCTGTACTCCTTACCCCCTCTGAAACTCTCCTTACATCCCTCTTGCCCTCCCTCCATCCATATTTCCTTCTAGTATCTCTAATCACTCCTGCCTGCTCCATTTCTCACTTCCTTTTTAACTTCTCTTTCCACCTCGCCACCCACTGTCTCTTTCCATTCATCTCTTTTTCGCCACTATAAAAAGGTTAACAAAATAATATTTTCTCAGATGAGAATGTACTGTGTGTGGGAAATGTTGCTGCACCTCACTATAGTTTTTTGTGATTTCCTCAGCAACGGGAACGTGTGGCGTCTGCTGTACACAGACAAGAGACAGTGGATTGCTTGAAGAAGTTCAATGCCAGGAGAAAACTCAAGGTTTGTTTCAGTTTTTGAAGCTTCTTTTTCTTTGTTTTTGTTCTCATTAATTCATGGTGTTCTAAGAATGTCTTTAATATTTAAATACTAGCTATACCCGGCCACGCGTTGCTGTGCCATAGTTTGGCTAAATGGAAATGAAAGAAAATAGAAATTGCACGTGTCTAATACAATCATTGTCTGCTCAGATATAGGGATAGTCTTTGATCTCCGCCCCCCCTCCCCACCACCACCACAACCAAATCCACCTACTACTCTCTCCCTCATCAAAGGTTTTTGGAAAAGAAAGACAATGGAAATCGCCCGTGTCTAATATAGTTAATGTCGTAATCATTCTCTGCACAGATATAGAGATAGTCTGGTTTTCCTACTTTAGAACACGCACCTTATAATTGTGTCTTTATATTAGTGGTCGTTTAAATGGTGTTATTAGCACAGTAACAAAAATGGTTATTTGGTTATCACATGCTAAAGCTGTTTGTATTTTTATAGGGGACGAAAGTAAAGCTACAACTGTACTTGTGAATAACAAAGTAAGTCGTAAAAAATAGACAAGCGGAGGTAGCGTTAGTAAAATATAAACAAATTAGGTAGTGAGAACTTGAAAATCACGTGTAAAGCTCTTAAGTTCTCTTAAATTTAAGTCATTACCCCCTCCCCTCTTCCACCGACTACTGCTCTCTCCCTCTTCGAAGGATTTGAAAATCACTACCTGGCGATATTTTGTTGTTGCTGTAACTGACATTGACATCCCTGTCCATCTGGACTAAAAGAGGGAGCAGGAATTGTAATAGGTAGTGAATGGGGCTAGTGTAATATTTACCACATCATCCCTCAAGTACCAGTACAACTACTAAAATAATGTCACTGCTATCTGTGTTACCATCGGAGTAGACAGAGAGTCGTGAGCCAGAAGATTTGGTTCCGCATGGCTAGTGCTGTCGCCACAGACTGGTCAGGTTAGGATGTATAATTTCACTTGCCGACAGAAGAACGCCATAACCTTACCGGCGGTCTTCACATAAGAGCACTATGGTGTAACAGCCCAACCACAACTATTACTGCTGCTGCTACTTTAAGTGGGTAAAACAGTTACTGTGACTTAAAGCTCTCTCAGTTAATAGTTTGCCCCCCCCCCCCCCCCCCCAATTCACCGACAACTCTTTCCCTCATTGAAGTAGTTGGGAGAAAAAAAAAACCCACTTGAAAAGCAAATTTACACAGGAAAAAAACCACCATAATTAGGAAATAAACGCCATGGTAAACAGCACAGCTTTAAATTCCAACGCAGATGAAATAACTAAATCTAAATGAAAATCTATGAAATTTCAGCGTAACCATGCAATCGGAAAGTTTAAAAATGCAATCATAAGTATGCGAAATGGTGAAATTTATATATGAAATGGTTTACCCATTTACTTGTTTTTTTTTTTTTTAACATTAAGGCAACATGGCCAGTGCTGTCACCACGACAGAGCAGATGAGAATATTATTTTAGCCTGGGGTAAAAAAAAAAATTTAACTACTGCGGATTCGAACCGAGGTCTCCCGCACAGGAACCCAGTGTTCTAACCATTCGACCAAGCAGCCACTTATTCGGATCAACGAAAAGAGAACTTAACTATTAGAGATGTGTATCCCTACTACTGTGTCGCGATTAAAACACAATTCAAAACCGCAGGCAATTGTTTTCTCGTAGAGATGTTCCAGATATATTAATGAAACGGCACAACAATAGAAATCGCACGTGTCTAACACGGTTAATGTCGCAGTCACTGTCTGCGCCGATGTCGAGATAGTCCTTGATTGGCCCACCCCCCCCCCCCCCCCCCCCCAATCGAAGGTTGTTTGAAAAAAACAACAACAGAAAATAGAAATCGTGTTTAATATGGTTATTGTGGCAAATATAGAGATAGTCTTGTTTGCTGTACCACGACCTACTCTATGTATTATAGAAGGCGTTGGCTGCACGTAACTCGCCGGCGAATGGTAACTACGGCGCATGCGCAATTACTAACGTGGCTATAATTAGAAATCACTAAAGGTATAAATATTAGTTGCGAATATTATGGATTAAATTGTGGTCACCTATCTCTAACAGTGGCAGGTTGAATTTCAAACCACGATGGTTCAAAATCCGGTATCAAAACAAACATATCCTGAAAATTTCAGCTAAATCGGTTCAGTAGTTTCCGAGTCTATAGGGGCAAACAAACACACAAACATTGATTTTTATATATATAGATAAAGGCCTGAGGACAACATGCAGGGGAAGCATTTAAAACGAAGACAGTGTCATATTTAGGTAGACAGGGAGTGGATATGATAAGTTGAATTCAGCCACGTCTGGCTCAACCGGCCTGCCCCATTTTGTTTTGTATTGTTGACTTTTTGAACCCATCCCAGGATAAGCGAAATGGATGATTTAATGCCTTCTTAACTGGGGTATAGACTTCTCAGACGAGGTCCAAACTTCACTGTTAAGACAGAATTTTAAAGTGACGCATTTTCCTTAACAAGAGAGAAATCGTTACTGCCATTATTCAAAAAAAAATTTTTTCTTCACTTTACAGTCTTCCCTCTCTTCCTGTCTTTTATCGTACATTAAACATCATCATTACCTTTCTCATTTTATATTTCCCAGGGAGCTATTTTGACAACAATGATTGCAACCAGAAATTTTTCAAGTAAGTTGCTCAGTATTTGTATTCCAGCATCTTAGTGTATGAAACAAATGTTGGTGTATCCATATCTTCGTCCATGTTCATTGTTTTATCGCCTTTTTGTTCTCCTGTTGACCACCAGCAGTGAATTAGACTTTATTGTTTGATGAAATTCTGTGATTGACTCCGATACTGGTATATATTCAGAAATGTTAGAATTATGTATTTGGCTTTTTAGTTTAGTTTGTAAAGGATTATGTTGTTTGTGAATGGATATATATACAGAAATTTCAAAACAATGTTGTGCCGTTGTGTAAATGAAATATTTGTGTACACATTATTTGGAAATGTGTTAGTATAGTGTTTTCATAGTTTAGTTTCCCTTTACTGTACATCTATTAATAATAAATCTATCAAAAAAATCTTCTGTAAAACATTTAAGTTTAAAATAAAAACAGGTTCATATTGTTTGGTAAGGTTTGCATATGAGGTGTTAATATATCTTAATACAGAATAACGGGATCACATTTCACTTTAAATATTACCAAAGATAGACAACACAATATAATTATCATAATGATTTAAAAAATGTACTTATACAAAACGAAACAATTTATTCTTCAAATTCTCATTGATGCATGACAAACTGGATGTTGTGAAGGTCTTTTGGAAGCGAATGAGCAGTGCAGAGGCACAAATAGATTATCATGGTCTGGGCAGAATGGCGCTGCGAGGAGTGACCGGGGGATTTGGCTGGCATTGATCACTGAAGGGAAAGGTGGGACAGATGTACAATCAGACAGTTACTGGTACCATCAGAATTAGAACCTTGCTTGCTGCTCAAGATGGGGAAAGATGGGACAGATACACAATCAGACAGTTACTGGTGTCATCAAAATTAGAACTTTGCTTGCTGCTCAAGATGGGAAAAGATGGGACAGATACACAATCAGACAGTTACTGGTGTCATCAAAATTGGAACTGTGTGTGCTGCTCAAGATGGGGAAAGATGGGACAGATACACAATCAGACAGTTACTGGTGTCATCAAAATTGGAACTGTGTGTGCTGCTCAAGATGGGGAAAGATAGGACGGATGCACAATCAGACAGTTACTGGTGTCATCAGAATTAGAACTTTGCTTGCTGCTCAAGATGGGAAAAGATGGGACAGATACACAATCAGACAGTTACTGGTGTCATCAAAATTGGAACTGTGTGTGCTGCTCAAGATTGGGAAAGATAGGATGGATGCACAATCAGACAGTTACTGGTGTCATCAAAATTGGAACTGTGTGTGCTGCTCAAGATGGGGAAAGATGGGACAGATACACAATCAGACAGTTACTGGTGTCATCAGAATTAGAACTTTGCTTGCTGCTCAAGATGGGGAAAGATGGGACAGATGTACAATCAGACAGTTACTGGTGCCATCAGAATTAGAACTTTGCTTGCTGCTCAAGATGGGGAAAGATAGGACGGATGCACAATCAGACAGTTACTGGTGTCATCAAAATTGGAACTGTGTGTGCTGCTCAAGATGGGGAAAGATGGGACAGATACACAATCAGACAGTTACTGGTGTCATCAGAATTAGAACTTTGCTTGCTGCTCAAGATGGGAAAGAAGCGGTTATGAGAGTATTCTGAGCGCTGTAAAATCGATTTTGAATTCAACATTCAGTTCTGTAGTCTGTTAAAATTAATCTTTTCACTTTTTAAATAACCAAAAGTAATTAAATTGACAAGCATGTATATCCAATAATGAAATAATAATGATAAAAATTAGCTTTATATCTCAGTATAACCCAGATGGAGCTTGAACAGCATCTTGTTTAAATGACTTCTTTATCTTCATATTCTGTTTTGTTTAGAACTGACTGCAAAAACTAGTATCATCCAATTTAAATTCTGCCAAATTCCAACATGGTTACCATTTCCTTTGCAACCAGAACCTCACTGCTGTCAAACTTGTGACTGGTCCCACAAATATAGAATTTAACTGTAAAAATGAAACCATTAGTTAAGCATATGAGGAGCAGCAGGCTGAGTAGTTACAACTCTAGGATCTTATATGGGAGAACCAGGGTCAGATCCTTTGTGAGTTGATGGAAGTGTGTTTTCTGAAAAAGGGCGGAATTAAATATCCTTACTTGTACTGTCCAAGACAGCCGTGCGCACTGTCCATGGCAGCTGTGCATACTGTCCATGGCAGTTGTGCTCTGACTCTAAATCCTCCTTCCCATCTCCCAAAATCCTACACTTCTCGAAAGAATGGTAGTATAGGCAGTAATAGACAGTTAGGAATATAACCTGTTGGTTCACCTTCTCTCCTGTATTGTGCTTATGCTCACATTTCAGTCCTAAAAACACAGACCACAGAAATGTCTGTTTGAGAACCACTGTAATATGTGTTAGTATGTTATAAACTGCATTTTTGAGCATTGTTGTGCTGCACAGTTTGCATTTATAAATGTTGTTATCTTCGGCTGCTGAGATGTGCATGCTAAATAAGTGACCGTTGTTTCCATTTGTTTGTCTTTCACATGAATCAGTGTGCAGCTGTGATTAGTTCCCCGTCCTTTTTAGGATGAAATTTTTCGTAATTTGAAGCCCTACTCAGGCTCTTGCGAGGGGCCGCAATATAGCCTGCCCTTAAATATGGCACAATGGCTGAACGCGGTTTCTGGGACCTCTCCACAGTGATCCTCATCCACATGGTGGCACATTGTGTCATCAGGTGTTCAAGTGAGTCAGTCAGTCGCAGCTATGATTATTTGACACTTATTTCAAACAACTTTGTATTTTTCATTATTGTTGCATTTTAATTCAAAACAGGCAGATATGCTGTGTCTGTTTGATGTTTAATGCTTGTATTTGATTCTGTGTCTGATATTTGATGCTCTGCCTGTTTGATTTTGTATGCTTGTATTTCCAGGCTATCAGTATTGGGTGGTTTATTATGAGGCCATGTATTTGTTTTGTTTAACATAATTATATTTTTAAAACATCAACTGCATTTTAATAGTAGTTTGCAAAAGACTGACCCTGAGATTTTAACATAGTTGTTTTATTTAATCTGTTTAATGTTTTTAAAACACCCTTGCAACTATTCTCTAAAAGCTGTCTGCAGATAATTAGCCATGAGACTAAACATGTAAGTTGGGGTTTTCAGCTAGGGTGCGATATCTACGCCCAAGATTATGTGGTTTCATGAAACCTTTAATGAAACCTATTGACAGCAGGAACATTAGATGGGAAAAGAGCTAGAGGTAGACAAGGAGAGAAATTCTTAGTTGCCTACCATACACCATTAACAAATTATTTGAAACTCATCTTCATCAGCATTCTGAGTCCTTTAGGTTCATTGCTGCAGATATCACCCGCCTCCACTCATCTCTCTGGTTGGCCTTTTCTTTTCAGTTCATGACACCAGGTGTTTGTAGGTCTGCCTGGATTTGATCTCTGCATCATCTTCTTGGTATGTCTCGTGGTCTACAACCATTCAACTCTCTTGTTTTCACAGTTTTTAAATACATCCAAAATTGAGGCTTAGATATCTGTTTCATGATGAAGTGAAGTTTTACAAAGTTGGGAGTGTCGGCCCCATGCTTAAACCCCCCAACATTAAGGACCAGGGGTATCTTTATCTGTTCTCTACCCTCTGACCTGTCTGGCATGAGAAGTTCAGCTGGTAGCTGTGCTTTTGCCAGCATAACTCTCGGAGAGAAGCGTAAGCTTGCCTTCTGTGACAAGATGGTGACAACTTCGGGGGAGATTTGAGACTACTGATCAGATAAGAATTATGACCACCTATGCTTTTTTTTGCTTTGACAAATTATGATAACAGTGATATCTTAATTATATAGTAAACTTAGTCACTCCTCTTTTACCTTGGGTGTAGAGGTTTGCCAGAGAGTCAACACTATGTTATAATTGTATATCAGAAACTATTGTCATATAATATAACATAACCCTTAAACTGTTAAGATCATGTAGGTGTATCAGTGAAAGCACTAGCACATGGAACCTGTCATCTTTCTCTGTCTTCTGCTTGTTATAAAAGTGAATAATAATTAAGTCCTGTCCACCGTTTCTTGATGATTTCTTTACAGATTCTTCCCCCTCCCCCTACCGTCCCCCCTTCCACCTTCTTCAACTACCCCCAATGTTCTTATTCTGATGTGTATCTAGGGTTTTTGTGGTTTGGTTAGTCTTTTTTTATGGTATCTGTTGCCATTTTAGACTTACATCAGTGAACTGACACTGGTCCTTTATCCATTCTTCTTTCACCATCTCTATTTTTGTCCTTATTTGTCTATTCACTATGCCATATTGTAATTACTGTATTAAAAAAGGCAAAGACACAGTTATAATTACTTAATAGACACTGTAGTTTAATTATGTAGTTAAAAACTCTTGATCCCAACTATAATCCAGAGACGTTATGTAGGATTATGGTTTATTATGAAACAAAGCTTTACAGCTTCTAAAATGTAAGCAAATGTTTTTTTAACTTGTTTATTTTCTCAAATTCTGTATGTCAAAAAGGCATTTATTTTACATAATTTGGCCTACATTTTAAAAGTTTCAGTCCATAATAAAAATAATAATAATTTTGTGGTAATAAGAAGATAATTACAAGAGTTTGCACAATCTATTAGCTAGCATATTTGAGTGTATTTGGTCAGGTGCATGCACAGTAGTAGTTTGACATAATAAAGCAAATAAATCACTCCTTCTAATTGAAATTGAAGAAGACAAAATTGACACTCAAAAAATAACTGTCTGTTCTACCTGGGCAAAAAACAGTAATCTTTTTTTTTTCACGTTCACCGGCCGTAAACTCAAGCAGAAAGTTCTGGTTGTTCATCCACCTCTGGAGTTTACTTTCCACAACCCGAGTGTTGCATGCACATCCATTTACAGATCCAACTTTTTTGTATGCAGACTGTTGGTTGCTTGCCTCTCCGTCAGATGCACACTTCGAAGGAAGCTCCCCAAATATTTGACTTTTAGGACATACT